AGCATTGAGAGAGTGGAGGAGACCTGCACTGAAGGATACATGCAGCACTGCATGCAATAAACAGATGTGTCACCTGCCTAGTGCCCGCTATATATGTCTATCTACCTCTTAATGATAGCATGACTGCAAAGTAGATCAACAGACATACATGGCAGGCGAAAAAAAGTGTATACTCATACAATAAATGTATGGGAATACATATTTTCCATTTCCATGCCTTTACTATATAAATAAAAGTATGGGAATGCAGAATATGTATTTCCATACTTTTACTGGATTTAATGGGCTGCATTAAAGTGGAAGTAAAATGTGTTTATAAAAAATTGCTAATGGGCAGGTTTTCATTAGCAAAGACTAAGTCTCTTCTACCAAAAAAACTCCTACCTGCCAGTCAGCATTTTATTTTTATTTTTTTAAGTGCACAGACCCCAGCATGCTGAAATTAAGTAACTCCCATGCACAGGAGTGACATCATGCTAGCCAGCCAATCAAAGAACCTGGAAGAAGACCGGGAGAAGATGGCAGTGCCAGCGACGGAGGGGAGAGCAGACAGCAATGTAGAAGGACATTGTCTGCAAGTCAGCCATAATGTGCTAATATGCTGCGCACAATAGCACATTATGGCAATCACCTTCGAAACAACCACTTTACTTCCGCTCTAAGGAAGGTTTTGGAAGAAAACTACTGGGCACTATCCTCACAAGGGTGAGAACCTCTGCTCTATTCCTCCTGCACATTAGAGAGCGATGCAACATCTCACTGTGCGCTACTTAGGAGGGGGGCCCTATCAGGTAGGGTGTGGGGGGCCCCAAGATTTCTAACGGTGGCCCTGCTGCTTGTACTGCTGTGCTCCCCATTTAAACCTCCCTGGCGGTATGAATATGGAGGATTTTAGCATGCCAATGCGGTACATTGTTTTTCATGGCAATTTATTGTTTTATATTGTAGGCCTGTAATTCTTAGTAAATCTTAGGAAGAACTCACCTAAATCTGTCCAAACAAGAAGAGCCCAGTAGACATTCCCGGTATGATAAAGTTTGAAACACGAAATTACAAAATTATAATATAATAAATAATTATAAAAATGTCTAATATAATTAAAAAAATGGTCCAGTAAATGGGAATTCTGGGGGCGCTGCCTGATCCGTACCACAGTCAATAGAGTACAGTAAAAGTGCAGGCAAAGACAAAGCTCTAGGGACAAAATTAAAGTGAAATATTTTGATAAATATATGTAATTATAGCAGATTGTTTTCACTTTTGCATTTCCCGGTGGCCCTGCCCTCCGCTGTGACGCCCAAAAACGAAACTGAAAGCTGAATGCCGGCATCGGCTGGGCAAACACAGCAGAGGACACCGTGGGTTTGCAGGGACAAGGTAAGTGACACTTTTGCGCAATCCCGAGTGTGGCTTGGGGTTACTGCTCTTGGTACTGAAAATCAACCCCGAACCACACTCGGGAATACCGCCAGGGAGGTTAAAGTCATGAAACCACCAAATAGTGAGGAAAAAAAGAAGCCCACAGCAAAATATAGTACAGGAAGTAGGAAAAGAAGAATAGATAGCCAGTACATTTGTTTGACCTGTTTGTTTTTGAGTTTCCATTAGCACAAGAAATGTGCAGTGGTCACTTGTTCTGAGTACACATGTACAAGTCATTTCCCTCACTTTGGAGAGATTTTCTCTCACTTCATGTTGTGTCTACAAGACAGGAAGAGAAGGGACATCTCCCCAATGTGGCACAAAATGATGGCAAAATAAACTGCCAGGGGTATTAACTCTTCTATACTCTAAAAAGTTTTGGCTTCAGATATACTTTAAAGGGTATCTATTCTCAAAAACTAAAATATATATTTCTGTATTAAATTTCCATAAGCTCTGTCCCATTCCTAATAACCATATCAATCTAGAAGTTTGTAAACTTACTTATTGAAGATGCCCATAGCATGTACTTTCTCCACGTCACTCAGCCCTGTGAATATGCACTTCCTTGTGTCACAACTTTCACAGAGCCTGTCTTCTGAACTACAACTTGTCATGTCTGAAGTAACATTTTCATTGCTTGCTGGAAGCAATGCATGATGGGATATGTAGCCTTGGGAAATCGAGATTGCATCACATCAAGCAGCAAGGAAAGAGATGCAAAGCACACTGGGAAACCAGAAAGTTGTTGAAAGTGATGCGTGGACAGAAGGCAGCACTCGCTATGTAAAAGGGATTTTTTTCAAGTAAGCTTTTGACTGCATCAAAAACAACTCTAGAATGTATTCCTATTTATAAGGTGAAAATTACGGCCGTGCATTGCGCACAAACGTCTCTACAGAACGGGACGGAAGTATTATGTGGTGCGCAATGGCGCACACAGGAAGTCACAACAAGCATTAAGGTAGTGGCCTATTTAAATAAACCTGCCCTGCTCACTGTGTTGATGGTCTTTCAGCTTTATGTGTGTTCCTGTGCCTGTTGACCCGTTGAAGACTTCTACTTGTACCTCCGTGATTCAAATTGTTTTGGACCTTTCTTAATTGCTGCCTGCCGCTGACTTTGGCCTGCTTCCCGGACTTGATTGCTGCCTGCCGCTGACTTTGGCCTGCTTCCCGGACTTGATTGCTGCCTGCCGCTGACTTTGGCCTGCTTCCCGGACTTGATTGCTGCCTGCCGCTGACTTTGGCCCGCCTCCTGGACTTGATTACTGCCTCTCGATTCTGTACTTCGCTGCCCGGCTGGTTCTGATCCTTGGCTTTCCTTGACTCTGCTCCTGTACTTTCCTGGCACCAGTGCCTGATCCTACCTGTGGCACTCGTGCTCCTCGCTGCCAGTTCACACCCTGTTCCCACCTCCAGGGGTGTAGGATGTGAGCAGTAAGAGAAGCCTCCTTGACTGTCCGTCTCTCACCAGGTACGTGATACTAAAACAATGCTGTTGTTATAACAGGATAGTATATGCTGGGACTTTACAACTCCTTTAACTACTTCTTCTAGCGTGAGCTTAGCAATAAAACAGTCTGATCACCCGCTAATGGCTATAAGGTACATTTACTGGTTCGCTGATATTTCTGAATGTCTTTGCACCTTAACATATAGAAGAGTTTTGCTAATCTAGGTGTAAGAATGCTTACCTGTAGTAATATCTGTTAAAAAAAGAATGTTTTCTGTTGAACATCCAATATGATCAGCGATTTTTCTGTAACTTTCACTCTCGACCTTAGGCCCGACAGTAGTGTCAAAGTGCCCTTGAAACAACTGTAAAATATAATAGTGTATGAAAGACAAAAATAAAAAACATATGCTGTAGTTCTGCGAACAAAATGCACATTTTCCTCATGGTTTGTCCCGGCGGCAAAAGTCACCGGGAGTCTGTTTAAACAGCCCCGATGCTGGCGACGTACACTGTACGTCGTCAGTCACGAAGGGGTTAAAGACACTGCAAGTACAGGAAAATACGTGTTGAATTGTCAGAAAAGCAGTCAGCTGTTAAGCCCTGTTTTTTGTGTGGACTAAGTGGTGTCAGCCCTGGCCACTGTCTTTTGCTAAGTTATTCAACCACTCCCGCTCTCAGATCTCTACAACATAAAAGGCTAAACACTCTGTAGTCCATGATAACAACTAGGAGGGCCAAAAAAAAAAAAGGGTAAAAAGATAAGACAGGACATGTCAGAGGACACAGGATAGCTCTGAATTTCTGACAAGATCAAAAAGTTTGATCAACAGGTGTCCGTTAACCTCTTTCCGTCCGCCCGTTGTGAAAAAACGGACGGACGGCAGACTCACATGGGCGGGTTGATGTAATTAGACGGCTTTTTTTTTTTTATGAGCACGGGCAGAAAAAATCTGTCCGTTCTTTACAGCCGTTACCGGCTGCTTCCCTTACAAACGATTGGCGGCTATATAGCCGCTGATCGCTTGTATGTTGTGTTTTGTTGGCCCCCCCTCCCCCCCTGGAGTGCCGCCTCCCTCCTGACCCCTCATCTTCAATCCCAGGATCCGGGCGCATCTGCGGCCCGGGACCAGCTCGGGAGGGTGTTAGGAGGTAAGATGGGAGGGAGATCAGCATCTTCCTCCTTGCTGAACTCCCTCCGAGGTCTGAATGCAGAAGTGATGTGTAATACATCACTTCCGCATTCACCTGTCAGTCATTTGGCTGCTATAGCCAGAGAGAAGAAGCTGATGAGGCAGATATTTGCTTCATCAGCTTCTTTGGGGTCCCCAGGTGACATTAGGGGTCTTAGAGAGCCCTAATGTCTCCATAAAGAGGACCTGTCAGTGTGCCTTTGCTATTATATAGGGGGATTGTTATCCCCCTATGTAATAGCAATGACATTAAAAAAAAAGTAAAAAAAAAAGTAAAAAGAAATAAAAGTCACATATAAAAACAACCCAAAAATGTTTAAGTCCCCCACCCCCACATATAAACCTAAATACGCGTTCGGTGTGCGAGCGCACAAAAACGACAATTGCGCTACACGTTACATATCGCCGCGAACGTCGCAGTGAGAGCAATCATTTCAGGGCCATAAATCACTGATAACACTAAACTGATGAGCGGTAAAAGCTTTTAAAGCGTGGCCTATGGCCAATTTTGGCTATTTTACTTTTTTGACGTTTCGCGAGTGCGCGCAATTTTTTTTTTTTCAAAAATGTTTTATTAACTTTTAGCAATCTTTACATTTTTAAAACAAACGTCATCACGTCAAAGTAGTAAGTATACCACGCAGTGGTTAATTCCATCCATAACAATCCATCAAGGAACATATGCATAGTAGATGGAGCATTCTGAACAATACTAACAATACTCCCACTATAAACAAGTATTCAGGCCGTGTAATCAAGCAGTATTCAAATTACGCCAAGACCTGCCTCTCAGAGAGGCCGTCAGTCTTGCCCTAGCTGCAGGACCCCCAAGGCATTCGACAAGTCATTAGTCAAGTACCTTGCGCGCAATTTTAAGGCTTGACATGTTTAGTGTCTGTTTACCCGATGTGACCCCGTCTTTTATATTTTACCAAAAAATTGGGAATTATTAAATGTTTTATAATTTAATGTAGGGGAAACTGTTTTGGTTTTTTTGGGTAACTTTTACTTAATATAGTAAAAAAATAAAAGCCGTAGTGGTGATTAAATACCACCAAAAGAAAGCTCTGTCACCAAAAAATGGTTTAAAATTAATTTCAGTACAGCGTTGTATGGCTGAACAAATGTCAGTCAAAGTACTGCAGCGCTGAACACTGAAAAATGGCCTGGACAGGAAGGGGGTTTAACACCGCGGACTTCAAGTGGTTAATGTTTAAAAATAAGTAAACTCTGACCTTTAACAAATATAAACAATGAACATAACCTTAGTTACCAAATTCAGGTGACACCATTTGAGATGTATTTCTCATTTTATCGCCATATTCAACTTCACTCTGGTTTACAAAAAGCTGTTTTTGTGATACACAAGGGTGTAAACTTTCTTCAAAACACTTTACAAAGGACCTTTGCAGAGTAAAGTCATGTGCACATTGATTTGCATTTTCCTTCATTATATACCTACAGCACTCCTTGTCTCTGTAAATATTGCATTGCCAATTGTTTTGTGTCATTGGACCACATTTTTCAATAACAATGGCCTGCTCTTCTATACCTTCAAGTACAGAGCCTTTATTTCACCATAATGTTTTTTGTAGACAGAACTCCAAGTATGACTTATTTTGCATATTTGGGCAGCTTTGCTCAAAGTAAGTATGGATATGCCATCTGCTGGGGATTCTGTAAAGCACTGCGGTAGTGCTGCCTGCAAACTTCTGGGCCCTTTACTTTGCTGTGCGACTTTCCCTCTGCTCTGAAAACACAGGGAGTTGCTCGCGCAGCACATATACAAAACGTGTTGAGCTTTCCCCATGTTTCCACCAGCTTTCTACAAATTCCCTAAAATGAATTATGCGATATTCATTGGACTATATCATCTAAGATCCAGAAGTGGTTGACTGGGGTATGTGAATGGGGTGCTTTTTAGTTAAAAAAAAGTCGATATAATTTTATAATTATTTGAATCTACTGAACATTAAATGGAGTTATTTTAAATTATTGTAAGCTAAGAAAGTCCACTAAATTCTTTAATGTAAACACATGTTTCTTGTTCAGCACTATGTCATTATGTGGACTGGAGATGGCCATCTGCTAGGTGGCAGACCTTTGCTCTCTGATGTCAGAGTTGCCTCATCATAGCTGGTCATTTGATCACTGGTACCATGATGACTGGTACACTGACGATTAGTACCCTGACGTGGGGGGGTATTTAAAAGGAGAATTATGAGGTGAGTGATTTTCATTCAGCCTCATAATCTGAGCCGACCTGTGACAATGAAACTGTCACAGGTCGGCCCAGTGGATCGGGAAGTGAGTGAACATATACCGGCGCTCGCTCACTTCTCGATCCTGTACCAGCAGAGAGCCGTGACAGGGGAAGGGCTGGATTCCCCCCACCCCGCTCCGATCCGCCAGCGCTGACTGGCGGAACGGACGGGGGAGGGGGCGGGTACAGCTGGCTCTACCTCTAGATATGCAGAGCCAGCTGTCACTCACGCAGCAGGGTGGATCCAGGCATAATTGTCGGGATCCGCTCTGGCTGCGGCGTCTCAGAATACCGCGAGCTGTAGCTCGTGGTTTACTGAGCTTTGAGTGACGCGAGGAAGCTGGTTTGTGTCCTCCCGTTACCCTTAGGAGAACTATGGGGAAAAGCCCTGACCCCATAGTTCTCCTTTAAGAAGCAGCAGGAGAGGTGCAGAAAACACAGATTCAGAGACTGAATGAAGCAAGGAGGTCCTTGGACTGTAGGTACTCCTCAGGTACAGCTTTCTTTCCAATAAGAGCAGTGAGCAGCACAGTGACAACATCACCAATTCTCACTCCAAATTTCAAGAGACTAGCAGTCAAAGTCACAACGCCTTAGCTAGGCCTCATAACATTATATTTGCAGTAAGAGGAATGCTTGGGCACAGAAGTTATGATAGCAAATCTTGATTTTTTGAGTTCAGGTCCACTTTAAGAAACCTAAAGGAGTGAGAGAGCCACATACATATATAGAAGAGCATCTGTCTCCTTATTTAAAACTGAAAGTTATCAAATGGTCATGTAAATATTTTACAAAGACACAAGCCAGGACAAAAAAACAATGATAGTGTACAAATAAAAGTGTACCTCAAGTAGGTCACCTTCAATTGAGTATCCAAACAACAGTTTCTGCGCTTCAACGCTACCGCTGGAAAATATGTAAAGCTTTATGCCTGCTTCCTTCCATTTTCTTAGTGCTGGAACAACATCGTCATAGACCCTAAGGGGAAATGTAAAATGTTTTCACTTAGCACATCAAAAAGGTAGACAACAATGCATCTCTTCCACAACATTAATTCATTTATGGTATCATGTATGGCTGTCCCTTGTATTCTAAGTTAAAGCTGAACTCTAGGCAGGTAGAGAAAAACGAAGGCAGCTCACTTATCATTTTTACACTACTAAAGCAATTGTTTGAACGCAAGCAGTGTAAGTACCTGTTATCACCCTCTAGCAGTCTCTGCATAACAGAGTTGGAGTTTAAGAACAAAAGCCAATTAGTTTATGTGCTGACAAGAAGCATACAAGAAAAGCAGAGTGACAGAGAGGAGCTTCTCACTGTGCTGCTTCTCCATTCCCTGTCCAGTCACGGACTGAAGTGAGTCCAGGATCCTGGGCTCAAAGGAACTGGGTTAAATGATGCTGCCCATCAGACCAAGGACCTCTAGTGGCAGAAGAAAATACTGTGGGGGAATCTCTGGACAGAAAGTGAATATTGCAGCAAATGCTGGTTGTGTTATTTGATCTTTACAGTGCAATTCATTTGTATAGTTATTTTTTGCTGGAGTTCTGCTTTATCATGTACTGAAAAACAAAATGCAAAGTATTTAGATTACATCATTTTTCATACAGACTTTTGAGTTGAAGTGATGTGCGGTTATATTAGCTTCATACCAGTAATTTCTGGGAGAAGCATAAAGGAATGTAAACGGTTACTTTTATTTAAAATGTTGATTTCCAAAACACATACAATAAGGCTCCCGTGTATTAAACTTCTGGGCTGTGGTTGCTCAGTGTTACATTTGATTCTTTTATGCATTTATCTTGCGATGTAGCTTGTGCAATGCATTAGAGTGTTGCAATGTACTACGCAAAAATGCAAGCTGTCCTATTTTCATTCATGAAGGGCTGCTTAAAAGCTCAATATCCTAACCGTTCCTCCTATACATTCTATGACGCCTTTTTATTGCAAGTAATATCAGTGGTAAAATATAGCTCAATTTAAGGGAACTGTGTTAAAGGGAAATACCTGTGTTGCCTCTTTGGGTATGCTATTTTGGCTCCATCGACTATGCACTTATCCCTAGCCAGTGACTAAGGGTCCATACAGCATAGTGCATGCATTGGCATCTTGTTCAAATTGGGTTGCACTGAAATGTGATTTAACATGCATCGCAGTCCATTTCTTTACTCTTTGTTTTTGTGCGTCTATGCATTTACCTTGTGATGTAGCTTGTGCAATGCATTACGCAAAAATGCAAGCTGTCCTATTTTTACTCAGTGCATACCAATGCAGCACATTGATCTGAAGTGACACCATAGAAAATAAAGCTATCTGCTTTGTCCTTGTATTGAGACGTCACTGGGCAAGGCAGCCCAATGCTGCTGATCTAAACAAGCTCTACTAATACTGGTTAAGCATGGCAGCCAGAGAATGAGCATTTTTGAAAAAGAGTTAGGGAATTGAAGATCAGGTATTTTTGTCATGACAGTTTGTATGAAAAAAAGGTTTGTCCAAAAACATTAATCTTTGCATCTGCCTCAAGTCTGTAAAAACCAAATGGATTCAACTTACTCTCCTTTGATTTGTCCAGAAGCATATGCAGCTCTCCACATGTGGCCTTGGAGCTGTTTAAGAGCAGTCGTCTTCCTGTCTAGTGATATTTGCCAATTAACATTATCGACCACACCTTGGATAATCTTTTGTACCTCTGCTTCATTCACAGGAATGGGCACAAATCCATTGAGTTCACGGTCTTTTTCTGCCTTACAAGTATGAACAGAGGGGGAAAAAAAGCAGAAAAATTATTGTAATTATTTGGTAGGGGGGGGTGATGTGTAAGACATATGTACAGTGGATATAAAAAGTCTACACACCCTTTTGACAGCATTCAGTCTTTTGGGGTAGGAGTCTATCAGCATGGCAGGTTCTATGGTGGGCAGTGCAGACTTTCTTGTGGGCTGTGTGGGGTCTATGCTGGGCAGTGCAGACTTTCTTGTGGGCTGTGCGGTCTCACAGGTGTCCCAGTCTTGGCAGGTGCGGGCGTCCTGCACCCACAGGAAGGAGAAGATATTTGGCTGGTGTTATAAACAGGCGCCGGGATTCACAGGAAGGCTGCCGGGACCTTGCTGGGGACCTGTTTACATCGCTGGCTTCGGTTTAAAAATTAAGCTGCAGGAGAGGTGCGAGGGTGACATGAAATGGCCTGGTGGGCCCTGTGTTTGACACATGTGTACTACGGCACCCCCTCCTGTAGATACTGCTCACTGTCATACCTCTTGGCACTCCTCTACTGCCGAAACCCCCTGCGTCATACCCTTTACATTCCTTTCCTGCACATACTGGTCCATCATACTCTCCTGCTCATAGCAAACACATTTTTCCTTTACGACAAAACTACATACTGCTTCTTACTGACACTTATGTACACTTCTTTAGCACTGTTTGCAATAGCCTCAACCTTGATGCTCAGCAACACTGATCAATGACCATTAATTCAACAGGGACAACCATACCTGGAAGGTTCCCCAACACCTCCTATGGTCCATGTACATAAAAAGCCCAGACATACCAAAACGCAGCTGAAGACTTTACATGTGCATTCATCAGTATTAAACCTACATGAGTAGTGTACCATGGTAAATTATTTCACCCAATAAATCCCCAGCACTCACCTTAATCAGCAAATAGCATCTTTCTAATCTGTATCTAGTTTTAAAACGGGTCTTAGCTGTATGAATTTGCATACATTTAAGACAGTGACAATGACCATTCCTAAGCTGGCCATAATCTTCAGCCATGTGCGGAATGAGAAAAAACGCTCGGTTCCCTCACCCAAACTAAAGCCAGGATATTGTATTCCAGAAGCCAGAGCCCGCCGCTGTCACACCTGAACAGCGGCTGCAGTTGTTTAGATGAAGTTACTGTTCAGCTGTCAATTTTTGGCTCCGCTCCTTTGACATGCATGTTCAAATCAAATTTCCTTGTTTCTTCAGACCACTATCCAATGTCTATGGGTAGCTGAAGAAGCAACCTGGCAGTTAAAGCAATTTGAATGCTCAAGATTATCAAAAATGGTATATTTTTTAAGTTTGACCACATAAATGTTAGTCCTTTGTTGGCCATGCTTGTCCAAGAACTTAACAATCCTGGTCAGTGCATAGTCTATGATTTAGAAGACTCCCCCTGTCCAACAGCAGCTGCACCCCCTTCCAATTTACTGTGTTGGCTGAAGGTTTTCCAAGCGCTAAAGGTGTCAAAAAACATGGGGGACATTCATCAACTCTCACACAGCAAAGCATTGGTAAACAGCATAGGACAGACTGGAGACTGATCTAAGATGATTAGGCAGCTTCATTTATAAATTCCTCCTTCTGCTGCTCTACGGCAGCACAGCGACAAAATATAACCTGACCTTGACCACTTCTTAATTGTGCATGTGCCAAGTCTGTCATACCTCCAGTGGTAATCCTGCCTCAGACCTGTGCAACTCTGTCGCAGTTTGCTATCCAGGATTACAGGTGAAGGGGTTTCTTTTTCTAAAATTTGACCAGACAAGGAGATGATCATTTAAAATGTAAAAGGACCACATTCAGTTATATTGGGAGCTCTTTTGTCTATTAGCATTTACCATTACATTCTGCTTTTCTTCCTTTCGTTTTATGATGTCAAGGTGCAAAGTGACCTACAAAACATTAGCCTGCAATCATACATGCAGATATAGTTACTCCATTAAAAGCTCTTTTCGTTGTACATTGGCAGCATTGCATGTCTGTGTAAGCCCCCATTCACACCTTAATGGAAACGGATGTTGTGGAGACCAGGGCCAGATTTACTCTCTCCACCCATGGAGAATGGCAGACCTGCAGGGTGCATACAAGTGATCTCCGCAAAATCACCGAGATTACTTGTACAAAACAAGCGGCGGCTTCCCCGCTGTACATTTAGCAGTGCTTGTCCAAAGCAGGGCTAAATGTAGAAAACAACTACCTGCCCGGCACCCGGAACTGCACGTCCCGGGCATCGAGAGTTATGAATTCCACACCACTGCTGCCCCAAGGCCGGGCCTTGGTTAGCCTTGTGGGAAATCCGGCCCTGGTGGTGACGTATGTTCCCAGGTGTTCGCGGGCATTTGTTTCCCGCACTCGTCCCCATTGATTTCAATGGGTCCCTGGATACATGCTAAATAGTACACGTCACAAATTTTGCAACATGCAATCTGCGTTTTTCCTGCGCATGCTCAAGCGCATGAACGCCTTGGAAAAATAGGATTTTTGTACTCACCGTAAAATCCTTTTCTCTCCGTTCATTGAAGCACACAGGGTCCCCTGTCATGTGCACCCCGGGGAGTGAAGTCGCAGCCGACCCGCCGAGGTAGAGCCTGCATGCGCTCGATGGCCACCCAGGGGAGACTACCAGGATCCATCACCATCCAGCACGTCGCCCTGGTGACACTTGCTAGCAGATCACAAAAAAACGGAAGAAGGAAAAGAAAATTTCCAGAGAGAAATTTTTTTAGCTCCTTACTCCTGACGCTAGGCAAAAAACTGGAGACTTGTCAGCAGGTGGGGGGTTGGGCCACCAGCGGGGGCCGCCCCTAGGCTGTCTAAGTCTTTTTTTGTTATATGCCTAGCGTCCTACTCCTGCAGGTGGCGATATACCTACCTTTCAGGATCTCCGATCTGTTGCCCTGTGTCCTTCAATGAACGGGAGAGAAAAATTGTTTACTTGGCCGCGTTTGGGGTGCCAGTAACTAGTAATGGCACCGTAAGTGTGTTTCACATATGTGCACAATTCGTGAACATGCTTCAAATCGCACACTTTTGTGCACATTTGATCCGTGTTCACGAGACACCCATGTGTGAACAGGGACTTAGTGAGAGGAGAAGCAATGCTTTATAGCCCTGATAGCGACTTCTATTGGAGAAAGCATTTAGCTAGTCTGTGATTTCATCTTCTGAGAATGGCCAGTCTGCGAACGTCTGAAAATGTGTAGAGAAGTGTACACATGATTGCTGAATGAGCCAGATAAAATTTACCAGACATATCAATAGTATAAAGGTGGCCATAAGCTGGGAGCTTTTTGAATGAACGGTCACCAGAACACACAATAATACCATCAGAAACTTGACAAATGTGCAAAATTTCTTTTGAATTTTTCATTTGATTTTGGAATGAATGAAGTTTCCTGAACAAAACCACATTTAGGCTCCGTCTACATGTAGGCGTTGTGTCGTGCTTAACTATGCGCACTGAAACACGCAAGACAAGGAATCTCATTTATTTCTATAGCCCCTTTGACACCTGAGTGTAGCGTCGTGCGTAGAAAAAGACCTGTCGCTCAGAAAATTACTTGAGCTTCTTCTTGGCAAACTACATTGCGTTTTGTTCCCATAGACTCAATAGGAAATGCGCAAAAAAATTACCCATACACATCTGTATCCCAATCTGCTTGCAAAAGCGCACGCATAAAATGTGCAAAGAAATGCTGCAAAAACGCTGTCTTCTAGGTGTGTATGCAGCCTCACTGTTAGAATTTAGTTAGTTTGAGAAAAAAATGTCATCCTGCTCCTTTGATTTATTTCTTTCTCAGTACGGTTGAAAACAATCGTCGATTCTACGCCATTAAAAATCAGAAAATCGAGTAAAGGTCCCGAAAACAAATTTTTCAAGCAAAACTCTATCGTTCTATGGCCAGCTTTAGATCAACATGATGAACACAACCCAACCTGTAATCTTAGAAGCTGAACATCCTCCTGGCACTCTTTTTCTTCCCAGTGATTCTGCAAATATTCTTTAACATTGTCTTCAATGTAAGGGAACAAAATTTCCTGTGGGACAAAACAACATATTACTTAAGATCTGCATGTATTGAAAAAACAAAACAAAACACACCAAAACAGAAACACGTAAGACAAACCACCTATTCTACCCATCTTTTAAACTCTACAGAGAATGTTGTTTTTTTGGGGATGTTTGTGTCCCCATAAGGAAGAATTCCTCTCGCTTTCTGTTGACACATCATATCATACAGGGTGTCACTGGGAGAAGAAATAATGAAAAATCTTCCCAGTGGTGACATGGACAGCAATATAAACCTGACGTGTTATTTATTGCTGACTGCAGTGGAGAAATTTCTTATCAATTTCCAGTTACGGGAGATCGGAAGTATGGGAAATCTTCCCAAAATGGACACAAACAGCAACAAAAACCTAGCAGAGATTTTAACCCTCCTGTACTCTGTCTACTCAGAAGTTAAATCTTAAAAATGCATTCAAGTACCTTAACCATTAATAAAATGCATCTTATTAGTGTATCACTCGGCTGTAGATCTTCAAATCATCTCTGAATTGGTGCCGATACTGTCCTTCCTCTGGAGAGTGTTCCCCATGGTCCCTGTGTGTGCTGTAAAGTAGCCATCACACCAATTTTACTCTTGTGATAGATTCTAACTTCAATACAAATTAGGTAAGTAAACATGAGATTGTAGTCCATCACAGGAGTAAGCTTGGAGTGATGGCTACTTTACAACACACACAGGGACCATGGGGAACAAAAGTAGCCACCCTCCAGAAGGAAGGACAGTGTCGGCACCAATTCAGAGATGATTTGAAGATCTACAGCCGAGTGATACACTAATAAGATGCATTTTATTAATGGTTAAGGTACTTGAATGCATTTTTAAGATTTAACTTCTGAGTTTAGTGTCACTTTAAAAACATTGTCCTTGACATATTATTACCGCAATATTAACTGTTTCTATGTAAAATTTAGCATTACAGTTAATTCATTTTCAAAACCGTTACACTTTTCTATAGGTGAATCTAATTTTTAATCTGAGGTTCATATTATCATTTTTGTGTCAGCTTCTAGTGGGCTGTGCCAGAAGGCCTCGGTTTTCTTTGTTTAAATACAATGGCCCGGACCAGGGAATGCGAAAAAAGCCCAAGGGATTCTTTACCTTCAATAGCTGATGATACTCCTAAACATTCTTAAACCCTATTATTTTACAAGGTGTGCATACTAATTTAAAAGCCTTGCGGGAAATCATACCATAGGCTAATCTTAGTTTACCTTGAACACAAAGCAAACAACGTTTTCTATGTTTGTATATTCAACTGTAAATGTATAATTAACCAATACTAGGGGGGATCAAATCATACATTTTAGCTTGGTATGTTTATATTGGATGTAAAATTGGTGCTTTGTTACTGACATCTTATATACATGTTGCATTAATAACAATCTGGTGTATGATCTTAGGCTTGCTTTTTTTTTGTCCTATATAGCAGTTCCTCAGTTAAATTGCATGAGGTGAAGAGGTTATATACTGATCACTTGGAACATTGTGAATACAATTACATCCCATTGTGAGTAGAAGTAATTTACATGTGACAGATGGTGGTTGTGTCTTCTTGCTCATACACTTCCCCCCTTTGTTACCATTTTGTAACAAAAAAAAGCTGCATTTCAATAAAAAGAATACAGTAACTCATGCTGAGCTTAAAAACATACTGGGATCAAATGACATTACTCCTTCCATCCAACACCTACAATTCCATCAGGTGTGGACCGCACCTGACTGTTTATAATGACCACAACACACATGTTCTTAAGATATATCCCATAAAGGAAAACAGCTACCCCAGCCGCCAGGTTTAGCCAAAATGTTCAGCCTATACTGTTGTGTAAAGGTGCCCATACACCTTACCAATATCAGATGATTTTCGTATGCAATCGCGTTTTCGTCTGATATTCGTAAGGTTGATGGGCAGTGTACAACCGCAAATACTGTACAATCGATCGGCTTTTGACCAACCAGCAGGTTAGAAAACTTTGGTCGATCGTATGATTTTCGCAAAGGTTGGTGGCATTTCCGTACATCAAAATTCGTACGATTTATACTGTTCATGCGCAAACGAAAATACGAGCGGTCGATTACCGCAATTCGTCCAGGTGTTTTTTTAATTACTGCTGATTGAACCTTGCGATAATCAGGGCAGGATGGGGCCGCCGTACGAAAATCGTACGACGGTTTGATCATCAGACAAAAAGTTTTGTCCAATGATCGCAAGGTGTATGGGCAGCTTTAGGCTGGCCATATATTAGTCAAAGTCCTAGTGACTTGGCTGAATAACAAAGAACACTTAAGGTGCCCATACACTGTACGATTATCGTACGAGAATCGCGGGAAATCCCGCGATCGTACGATAATCGCAAAGTGAATGGAAGGCGTGTAGCCCGCCCCTCATTGCTGTCATCGCAAGCACGATCTGCCTGTCCAAGATGGGCCGATCGTACAAGCTTTTAATAAGCTTACGACCATCGCAAGACAAAAGTCTTGCGATGGTCGTATGGGCACCTTTACAGACAGGGAGTTCTGACTTTGCTGATCTGCATACATGTTTTGCCTGCAGATCAGCTTCAACAATAACCTATATTGTGGAAAGACAGAGAAGCGATTGCTGGCCTGTCTCCTCTCATGAGTTCTGATTCTAGGCCTGTGACTCGAAAGGAGTGGAGGCAATTATAGCCAAGCAGCCAGTATTTTCAGAAGGAGGACAGCAATGGCAGCCTACGTTCCTTTCTCACTACAGGCTTACTTTAGGGCCCATTCAGATTGCAGTGCACTAAGGACTGTGCATTCCCCATTCACACTTGGGTATTCTATGAACACACAAAAAGGCACATTTTGAATTTTGATGCGAAACGTGCTTGCTGTGCCATTACTAGGTAATGGCACCCCAATCGCAGCCCGGAAAATGTGCGTTTTCCCCTACCCCAATGCTTAAACACGTTAAAACGTGAACGAATGCAGAGGAAAGAAACACAAAATACATGCTGCAGATTCTGCTGCATCCACTACATTCCCACGAAATGAGGATGTGCAGCAAATGTGGGAACAAAATGCACACAAACAGGCGTGAACATGATGCGCGTTCCGGGTACGCCTAGGTGTGAATGGGGACTTAAGGCAGTAAATTCATTTGAATGAGCTGCCAACACATCAAAATCAGACATGCACCATTCTTGACACAATGCAACACAATGCATTGTATCTGCATTTCTGTGCATTGTGGAGGGCTGCAACATGGGGGCTTTGTATTTGTGTTCAAAATGAATAGCTAAGCAACACGTGCATTGTGTTAACACGCATTAAGGCTTTATTCACACTTGCCACTCACGTTTCTACATGCAGAGGAAAATCTGTCAGGCTAGATGCTTTGAATGGCAAAGGTTTCACCTTTTTGATAAAGTCTTTACGACGAAACGCGTAAAAGGAGTGTGCTGTTTCCCCGCTGCCACCCTGGAGAGAGTTATATATAAGTTGCTTATGTTGTTGTACCTATGGAAGTCTGTAAGTACAATCATTTTTAACTACTTGGCAAATAAAGCAATTTACATCTGCACTTAGATCCTGTCTTCTCTCCTTTGGTCGGTCCCCCCCTTGGTTTTCTGGCTGATCCCTCCGGAGTGCTCTCCAGCCTTGGAGGTTGTCTAATTATCGCCGATGAGAGGAAGTATAGCTTGACGGCAGGAGAGGATAGAGAAACTTACAGAGAAGTCGGTCCCCCCCTCGGCTTTCTGGCTGATCCCTCCGGAGTGCTCTCCAACCTTGGAGGTCGTCTAACTATCGCCGACGAGAGGAAGGGTAGCTTGACGGCAGGAGAGGACAGAGACAATAACAGAGAAGGTTTTCTCCTTTTTTTTTCCTTTTTTTTATTTGCGGACGTATCAATAGAATTATTAACAAAAGACATTGGATTCCTAATACCATTTGGTAGAAATTTGACTATTGGTGTTACAACCCTCGTGGACACACTTTTACATTTTTTCTATATATATATTTTTTTCACCTGTATTTATTCACCTTATACCAGTAGATGTGGTTTTATTTTAAAACTTGCTAGATTTTTTAAATTACTGTTTTCTAGCCCAATATTGTGAGTGTCAGAGTGACCCATCTTTACAATTAATTTATTATTCACAACTGTACTTTCACTTTATGGCACATATATGACTAATTTATTTACATATTTGGTTCACATCTATCTAGTATTTATATTTGTATTTATATGACACGTATATTTATTATTAATATATATGCACATACGCACTTTTGGATTGCATATAGTTGCAAGTAGGAGTCGTCCACTTGTACTGTTTTTAGTTTGTGGTATCACAAGCATCACATAATTTAAGGATTAAACATAGCACACATCACAAAACCAAGCGCAGCACACCGGTTTATTTATAAAGGTTTAAGTGCATTTACATGAGGTTTGCTGTGTTACAAGTTCAAATTGATTCCTAGATGCACCTGACTGCACCTGAATACATGCATTGGAAATCATTAGATGCAAATATATGTGTTTAGAAAAGCTTTTTAACAGCATCTAATCGCACATAGTGTAAATGTAGCCTTATCCACACATTCTACCACAATGTATAGGTGCAAATGGGTCCAAAAGGTGTCATTCGCAGAGGTATATGCATCTCTCCACTGCAGTACTGCGGGGGGAAAACTCATTTTACCAATGTAATGTAAGAAGAAAAAATAAAAGGTCCTGCTTTATTCTTGCAGCATCTGTGCATGTTTTCAAGTCACCATAAACAAAAGGACATTTGCATATTAGCTAAGTCTTTTCCAGCCTTGATTGTGGCTCTGGGCTCCAGGATGTTAATCCCACCAGGGATACTGTTAGCATGGGGTGTTTGCGCTCACAATATTTGTGTGGGATTCTTCTTAATGCTCTAGTTTCTACCCACAATCCAACACTCATACAAGTATGTTAACTGGTTTCTTTTGTTTACTTTCATTATGTGACATTTACTCAGGAAACCATGTGAAAGTCGTACAAAATGCTCCTGTGTCTGTATCCCTCCTCTTATATAGTGTCTGGGTACTTGTTTTGTCTGCATTCCCTAATTTGCTCCCATTGTATTACAGAATGTAAGGTACTGTTAAATGTTGGCACACTATCAAAGATCTTAATAGCACACACACTTAAAGGAGAACTATGGGGTGAGTGAATTACACCCCCCCCCCCACACCACACATACGTAGTGGGACGACGTGTGACATTGAAACTCTTACACGCCGGCTCTATTAAAAGGAGAACTATGAGATGAGTGATTTCCACTCACCTCATAGTTCTAGCCGACCTGTGACAATGAGCCTGTCACAGGTCGGCTCAGTAGATCGGGAGGTGAGCGAACACATACCAGGTTCGCTCACCTCTCGGTCCTGTCACGGCTCTCTGCCGTGACAGGGGGAGGGCTGGATTCCCCGCTCCGATCTTCCAGCCCTGACTGATGACAGGGGGAGGGCTGGATTCCCCGCTCCGATCTGCCAGCCCTGACTGACGGAACGGACGGGGGAGGGGTACAGCTGGCTCTGCCTCTAGATAGGCAAAGCCAGCTGTCACCCACGCAGCTGGGCAGATCCCGTCATCTACGTCAGGATCCGGTCCGTCTGCGGCGTCTCAGTATACCGCGAGCTGTAGCTTGCGGTATACTGAGCTTAGGGTAACAGGAGGATGCTAGTTTGTGTCCTCCCGTTACCCTTAGGATAACTATGGGGGAAAACACTGACCCCATAGTTCTCCTTTAATCGGGAAGTGATTGAAAACATACCACTCACTTCCTGATCATCTACCTGCAGAGGATCCCTCCCCTTTCCGATCCTCAATAGCTGACTGGAGGAACTGATGGGGGAGGTAGCAGGCATAGCTGGCTGTGCCTCTAAATACGCAGGGCCCGCTGCCAATCAGCCAGTAGGGTGGATCTCGACAGTATTGTCAGGATCCGTCCTGGATGTGGCGCGGTGCTGCGATATCAGCATATAGCAGGCAATAGCCTACTATATACTGAGTTTTGGGTCACGGGAGGAGGTTTGTAAATGTCCTCCTGTGACCCTAAAAAGAACTATGGGGAAAAAGGTTACCCCATAGTTCTCTTTTAAGATTCAATTCACAAAGCTTTGACACCCAATTGTACTCTCAGTTTACATCAGCTAAATACATTCCAGGGACATCGACACAAAAGGTGTACAAATGTGACAGTTCATTTTGTTTAGAATTCATCCACATCCTGAGTAGAAAAGCCAACTGCCTACCAATATGCTGCAGAGACCCTTGCTTTCTGTATGAATCCCCCTGCAGAGGTCACAAATCTCCATCACAGACAGTGATGTGGACACCTGAAGGACCTTGTGTTATGTAAAGAGAAGAGGAAAGAAGACTTGGGAAGCGAGTGACATAAGTAAAAAAGCCATTTCAATGTTGCTTTTCATGCCAGCGATCAGTTATAGTGGTGTGAGGGAGGGATAAGGTGGAGTTCATGTTTTGCACAAAGTTGGGATTTGAAGAGGAACTTTAAAAAAAAATCATTCATAATTACTACTTACCTTTAAAGCAGAACTCCGGGTAAAAATGGTATTAACCCCTGCAGTCGGGCTACCCCCGCACTGCAAGGTTTAAGTGGTGATTTTTGCTTAGGGTTAAAAATAGAAAAGCTGTACTCACCTGATCCTCAGAGCCAGCTTGTTCTTAAACTGGTCCCTGGAGCCTCGCTCCCCCTCCGCTGCAGTGGTCTAAGGTTCCTGAGTCATCACGTTCTATAACAGTTTATACACTGTGAGGACCGAGAGATATACCATCGCTGCAGCTGAGGAGGAAACAGACTGGAGGGAGCACTGCCACGGGATCGGGTGAGTATAACTTTGTTATTTTTGACCCCACTGCAAGGGTTAATAACATTTTTACCTGGCGTTAATGCTTGTTTATTCACAAGCTTAGCAAATACTCTGCTCATGCTGGGAGCAAACATGACAACAATAAGAAAAGGTACCTAAAAACTATTTTTCTAAAAGGTCTAGATTGTGGAGGATCTTTGTGATTGTCCACTTTAAGCATTGCTGATTGCAGAGCTATAGATCAGTAACAGCAGGGGACAGGCTTTTCTACTCAGGATGTGGCTGCTTTCTAACGAAATCAAACTATTAGACCTTATTCACACTTTGATATTAGGTCTGCCAGCTAATTACAGCTGGAATGGCAGGAAGTTGTGGAGAGCTGTGACAGCTCAGCCTGTACAAAGCACATCCACCGGTTACCTGGACCTAGGGACAGATGACCAGCTCTGGACACAATCTGTCTGCATCCAGGGTCGGACATCTGTCCCTAGCCGCAGGTAACCACTGGATATTTGGACACTTGCAAATCCTGACAGACAGCATTGCCTGCTATCAGCCTGCCATTGCCTTGTACAGGCACAGCGGCCGCAGCTTTTCACAACCAACTGCCATTCCAGATGCAAAAATCTGCAGATTCTTGCTGCAGGAATCAACTGCCAGACGTAATTTATTGTCAGCTCTGAAAAGCAGGGCCAGCCTAATTATCTTGTATAATAACTGTACTGTTTGCCTTTAGTTTGCAGTGCAATTTGTTGATGCTATAGAAATCCTAATAACAATACATGTGAATGAGGTCTCGTTCACATCTGTGCCTTAGAGCAACGTGCGCCTAGATGTGTGTTGATGCGGAAACTTAAATACTTTTCACTTTGCAAGACGTGTTGCGGTGCCATTCATTGTTGATGTGCTTTCATATGTGTGTGAAATTGCACCGAAACACATGGTAGCAAAGTACCTTGAGGGGAATTTATCAGAACTGGAGCAGACAAAATCCAGAGCAGCTGTGCATTACAACCAATCACACTATCTCTTCAGTTAAGATTTGGAAATGAAAGAGAAATGCTTATTGGTTGCCATGCATGGCTGCTCCAGATTTTGATAAATTCCCCTCGTGTTTTGGTGCAGCGCATTTTGGAAAAGGTGCAGCGACTTCTTTGCTGCTATTGTCCTGCATAGGGCAGCCTCTTCAAATGAAATTCAACTGAATGAGTTGCCCTATACATGACCGCAGCACACCATTTGACCTTGTTCACAGGATGGCATTCCATAAAACCAGGCAGTCGATTTTACAGCCCCCTGGTCGTCTGCTGCAATGTCAGCACTGCAGCTGAACAGTGCTGTATACATGGTCGTGGCTGCGATGCTTTGCAGCAAAAAATATACAGCATGTCCTGTGCGGCAGGCAGTGCCACTTGTCAAACGCATGAAATAAGACCGGGCCAAACGGTGCACACGGTATTGCTATAGAAAATGTCCATTGGTATTGAAAAAAATTATTTGCGTTGAGCACGTGGCAGTATCGCATCCTGAATGCCAAGTGGCCGCTGCTCAAACCCCCCTCTGACAAGCCATCCACTTTGGATTTCTTTTCAGAGAGCGGTAGAAGCTGCCACTTGTGTGAACTCAGCCTTTGTTTGATAATGTAGCTGATTTAAAGTGACACTAAACTGAGGTGAGTGATTTCCACTCAACCTCATAGTTCAAGCCGACCTGTGACAATGAAACTGTCACACGTCGGCTCTATAGATCGGGAGGTGAGCGAACACATACCATCAATCCGCTCACATATCTGCAGAGAGTGGTGACTGTCACCGCTCCTCGCAGGGATTTTCCCCCTCCCCTCTGATCCTCCAGCGCTGACTGGAGCAAAGGACAAGTGACGGGGTGGGCAGAGACAGCTGTCACTCGTGCAGCTGGGTGGATCTCGACAGCATTGTCTGGATCCGTACCGACTGCGGCACTCTCAGTATACCGCGAGCTGGTGCTCGCGATATACTGAGCTTTGGGTCACGGGGGGACGCTAGTATATGTCCTTCTGTGACCCCTTAGAGAACTATGGGGGAAAACACTTACCCCCTAGTTCTCTTTTAAATCTTAAAAATGCATTCAAGTACCTTAACTATTTTCAAAAACATATTTTGTGTATCACTCAGCTGTAGATCCTCCAATCATCTCTAAATTGGTGCTGACACTGTCCTTCCTCCTGGAGGGTGGCTACTTTTATTCTCCATGGTCTCTGTGTGTGCTGTAAACTAACCACTGCCTCAAGATCACTCCTGTTATGGACTACAATCTCAATACAAACTAGTAAACTAAACATGAGATTGTAGTCCATCCTGGGAGGGAGCTTTGAGTGGTGGCTACTTTACAACACACACAGGGGCCATGGGGAAGAAAAGTAGCCACCCTTCAGAAGGAAGGACAGTGTCAGCATGAATTCAGATGATTTGAGGATCTACAGCCCAAATGATACACAAATAAGATACCTTTTTATTAATAGTTAAGGTGCTTGAATGTATTTTTAAGATTTAACTCCTGAGTTTAGTGTCACTTTAAAAACATTGTCCTTGACATATTACCTATAAAACTGTTTCTATGTAAAATTTAGCATTACAGTTAATTCATTTTCAAAACCGTTACACTTTTCTATAGGTGAATCTAATTTTTAATCTGAGGTTCATATTATCATTTTTGTTAACAGGTTACGTGAATGTATTTTTAAGTTTTAACTCCTAAGTTCAGTATCATTTTAAACTGAAAGGTCAGTTAGGCTTTAAACCAGGAATATTTTTTGTTTTGTTTCACAACCATGTAACGGTCACTAGCAAATCTCACTGGCGTCTGAACATCTTTGTTCTAAGAAAACTGATTTTTGAGGAGTTCGCTTAGTAAACCGATCCTCCAGGATTAGCAAACAAAAGCAGCAACGGGCCCCATATGAGTGGCCCTGGTAACATCCCTTACCTTCACAAAGGTAATGGGGGTGGTGGTACCCTCGATATCTAGGAGGACAGTGGTGACACCCGCTGGCATGGTAAGTGACGCCATGCTTCCTCTAGCAGTGCGTGCGGCAGAGCAGGGCGGAAGCTGCAGTGTGGAGAAGGAGGAGTGAGCTCCCACTGAGCCTCCACATCTATCACTGCTAATATGGCGGAGCCGGTGATCGATCAAAACTACGAACTTATCGAGTTGTGGGACCGCATTACTTCCGGTTTCCTCACAACTACGAGGTTTTTAGACAAAACATGTTGTGCACGAGCGCCATCCACGGCATTGCCCTATAGACATAGACCACAGCAATAAAGTAATAAAATGATGTAGGATGACACTAAGCCAGCGCGTTCTTTATCTCAGGTGCCCCACTCAAGCGGCGGCCATATTGAGTGGGGCACCGGAGATAAAGAACGTGCTGGCTTACTGTCATCCTACATCATTTTATTACTTTATTGCTGCGGTCTATGTCTATAGGGCAATGCCGTGGATGGCGCTCGTGCACAACATGTTTTGTGATCAAACATCGTAGTTCTGAGGAAACCGGAAGTCATGCGGTCCCACAACTCGATAAGTTCGCACTTTCGACACATCACCGGCGTGGTTTCCCACCAATTCACAGAAGACTCGTGTGTTTAGTTTATCTCTAGAAGCAGCGTCTCACATAACTCGGTCATGCTTGCGTATATTTAGCACGCCATATTGGAGGACCCTGCATGCGTTTTACAAATACTACTCCAGCACGGCAAAGCCACCTTCACACAACCATTTCCTCTGCACACGGCTTCCGCGCCTTCTCTTAACATTGAGCGTTCCCCCTTTGTCTACCCAGTGAAACCCCACCCAGCCTCCTGGACTTCCGGCCTTTGCACCCTCCCCCCGGGCGCTTCCAGCCAATAGAAGAAGAGCGCTCTCAGGTGACGTGAGAGGACCGGCGGCTCACCATTGGCTCCCGCGGCTGATATATAAGCAGAGGGCGGGCAGCGGGAGGATCTTTTCCGCTGTTGTCTGCGGTAGGGATAGTTCAGGTCTGTTCCTTGAACGGTCTTTATAGCGTACCATCGCTGCCGGTGAAATCATGAGCGGATACGGGACTATGGACGAATACTCAGAAGGCGCTAAGATCAACGCCAGCAAAAACCAACAAGATGATGGGTGAGTGTGGGGAGCGATACTGTAATTACGCTGTTTTGGGGCGCTTCAGACGGAGGGTAGTTTAGATAGACCGCGTTATTATTGCTCTCCGTGGCGTCTGTACTGACGCTTCTGTGTTTAACGGCGCTGGTGCCATTTGCGTTTGCTCGGTATAGCATGTCGTCAGCGGTAGCCAATAAGAAGAAAATGGGTGGAGCTACGATATGCTCGCTCCTGGTTGGCTTGTTGTATGGCGTCATCGTGCTTGCTTTCCTTTTGTAATTAAACCGAGGCAATGCTGCCGATCGCTGCTCAATAGAAATGGTTTGATTTATACTGACTAGCTGCTGAGCTGACCACTAACGTTACAATCTCCTTTCAACCTACCGGCAAGTTGATTGTACATGGGCTTTATAGTTAAATTGTACTGTGTATGGGGGGGGGCATATTTGGTCCTCCGGCTATGCTGTAACTACAAATCCCATCATGCTTCTGTCTCTGGGAGTCATGCCTGTAACTGGTCTTGCAATGCTTCATGAGACTTGTAGTTCCACAACTGGAGTCAGTTGCCCAACCTTGGTGTATGGTGACCCTTGCTGTGCCATTATACTTGCAGTTGTAAAGTCCTAGTTTGAGCTTATGTCAATGTCTTAAGTATTCATTCTTAATGTGGTCTGCTTTGTTTACAAGGCCCCTTCCCCATGACCAGTGGTTTTCAAATGCAATTTGTAAACAGACTTCCCGGGGTGGGCGGGGGAATGTATGGGCCTTAGCCGGCCAATAGAATTCCTTTGTTCAGCTTACGGGCTGGACAAAAGAATTCTAACAGGTTCCACCATCTGTTCAAGTCCCACCCCTGCTCTGCCGGATCCCGCTGCTTTCAAAGTACATAACAGTGGCTAAAGCACATTGGCTGCAGTCACTGTTCGACTGACCATTTTTCGTAGTCTCAAACAATTTACTCGAGCCAGAAGGGCTACCCTGATAGTTTTGGCTGGCTCATAGGAAATTGGATGATTTTTTTTTAAATGTATGGACAGGTTTACTCGGGCACTCTTTCAACTCCACAGGTTTGCTTTGCCCTTCTTCCACAGAGCTGGCATCTTGAGATGACAGAACAGCAGCATCCCCCTCGAATGAACTGTAGGCTGCCTCCTCACACAGCACTTCCTTTTATTAAGGTTTCTTTCTTTTGTTACAATGCTCTCCCCTAGCTATTGTCTCGTGCCCGCTGCCCTCATTGAGTGACACCTATGAAAGCTAAAAAAAAAGCTTAATGTTTATAAATATGCATACCGAACCTTAATTCGACATGTCCAACAACATAAGCAATACAGGTTTTTGCACAAGTCCTGTCGTGACTGGTTTGTTAAAGGCAATATGGTAATCCGAAGCTTAGAATTTGATGTGAGGCAGAATTACTTGTTTCTAATGCCAGTTTTTTGTTTTTCTCAGGAAAATGTTTATTGGAGGGCTCAGCTGGGACACGAGCAAAAAAGATCTTACAGAATACCTGACAAGATTTGGTGACGTTCTTGACTGCACCATTAAAACCGATCCGGTCACCGGAAGATCACGGGGTTTCGGCTTCGTCCTCTTTAAAGAAGCCATAAGTGTAGACAAAGTAAGTTTGTGGGGTGTAAGCAAGGTATGATGGAAGCAGCTATTTTGTGACTCGAGGGCAGCATACCAGTTCTAAAAAGGGACTTCACTTGCAGTAAGGCAGATGCTTTAAAGCTGAACGGCTGCCTTACCGCAGTCTTGCATAATTGTTTGGGCTCCTCGTCTCACTGCACACTGAGTTTCATGGTGTGCATTGTGGGCTGCAGCAAATACCAGCCCGACTTATTTCTTCTGCCTTGGCCCATCCCCTTTCATTCATTGGGTTTTAGTACTTTCAATCGTGGAAGCTCAGCTTCACATGTGGGAATTACCCGGGGTGGTCTGCATGGAAATGTTGTCTGCCTTGTAGGGCTGCACCAATACTTTTTTTTTTTTTCTGCATAGAGTGCCAATATTTTATATTTTAGTACCTGCTTGTACTTCCACTAGCATGGAGCTGGCTTCCTGGGCAATCAGAAAGTTGGGAGGCATGTCATTACTCAACGCCTGGCTTCTTGAGTGCCCAGGAAGCTGGCTCCATGCTGATTGGCTGGAAAGCCAGCTCCATGTTCCCTTGTGGCACTGCCGGTCAGGGGAAATATTTCTGACCGGAGGTTCCGGTATCGGGGAAGGTATCGGAGCATTTGGGCAAGTAAGAGTACTTGCCCAAATTCTCCACACTGATAATATTATCGGTGATTCCCTACTTCCTAGGAATGCCCACTCCTCCAGACTGACCTCCAACCATCAAGGCATTTTCATATTTGTAAAGCTTCTTCCAAGAGCCAGCCCACTGCTTCAATCAGGGCTGAGGGTTCTTGAGTACTGAGGCAGGGTGCTGTGATGTTTTCAGGAAGCTATGTACTAGGGATGTCCCCATACTTACCCCGGAAAAATATTGGTACTAGATGCTGAAAAAACTGTATAGGTGCATCCCTACTATATACAGAACCTGCTGGCCTCTCCCACCAGCCAGCTGCTGCTTGGATTACATGAAGAATCGTTGAGACCCAGTGATTACATCGTTGGGCCTTAAGGCATGTAATAAAAATTGCAAGGATTTATTAGCATCTTGAGGTAGAAAAGGTGTAACTGGAGGGCAAAAAATGGAGATAAAACTTTAGCTTTAACTTGGATGTAATCTAAAGCTGGATTTCAATTAAGGCTGTAGGCACCACTTGGCTAGGATAACCTCATCCAGTTGGAATATCTGCTTATGGGATTGCTATTTTGTGATTGAGAAGGGGGTGCTAGCTGTGTGTAGGTTTGGATAAGCTGGGGGTGATTTTAAATATAGTTGTACTTGATGTCTGTTTTTATCAGAACCTTCTATGCAGCCTGATTCTGTTACTCTACTTGGAGAATAACCGGTTGATCTGTTTGGTTTTTTCCCTCCAGGTACTTGAGCTGAAGGAACACAAACTTGATGGGAAACTTATTGATCCCAAGAGAGCAAAGGCATTGAAAGGCAAGGAGCCTCCCAAGAAAGTATTTGTCGGTGGCTTAAGCCCCGATACTACAGAGGAACAGATAAAGGACTATTTTGGGGGTTTTGGTGAAGTAAGTAAAACGCTATTGCTCATAACGACTTGTAAAAGGAAGAACATTTATTTAGGGTTTGCAGGTACATTTGTAACTAGGGTAGAGGTAGATGACCTGTTTGTAGCAGGAACCGTCTTTTAGACAACAGTCCTGTAGTACATTTCTGTTTTGTTCTTTACCAGGTCTTGTTGTATAGGCCATCCTATTCTGTACTGCAATATAAGTGTGGTTAGTTGAGCAGGACAAAAGCTATTGACCTGTGTTCGGGAATGGCAGACATCTAAGGCTGGACTGGTCATACATATTTCAAGGTTTCTGTTCCTTTTATGTATGATGCGATCTAGAATTGTAAGTCTGTTTTTTGATAGATTCATACTACAAAAGAGTGCTTGCCTTCTGTCAGGCATGTGGGTACAGTTGTCCTTTTAAAGGACTTGGCAATAATTGGGCATGTTTAACATTGTGCAACAAAGTATTTTCTTAAGCCTGCCAAAGGTTTGGCCTAAATTGCTGAAACTTTTTTGCAGATCGAGAACATAGAACTTCCCATGGACACAAAGACAAATGAAAGGAGAGGATTCTGTTTCATTACCTACACAGATGAGGAACCAGTAAAGAAGTTGTTGGAAAGCAGATACCACCAAATTGGCTCAGGAAAGGTGAGATGACATAACAAGGCCCTCTTTACCATTTCAGCTTTCCAGTTTGTATATTTAGTGACTTTCTTTTCCCTCAGTGTGAAATCAAAGTTGCACAGCCTAAAGAGGTCTACAGACAACAGCAACAGCAGCAACAACAAAAAGGAGGAAGAGGGGGAGGAGGAGGCGGAGCAGGAGCAGTATCAGGACGAGGCGGTGGAAGGGGGAGAGGCAGAGGAGGTATATAAAATATCCTTTTATTTATAAAAACAAATTAAAGCATGAATCCAGCAGAACTTTGTGTTTTTGGATTTTAAAAAAAATTTAATATTTATATACATTTGTTTTCTGTCTGCCAATTTACTTCGCTGTAAAGAATCTCTCAAACCTTGACTAACTATACATTTAGTTGAGTTAGGTTTTTTGTTTTTTTCTTCACACGGTTTCCTTTACTGCATGTGCCTTCCTGTCCCATTATGATTGC